ATATATATACATACATACATACATACATACATACATACATATATACACACACATAAACATATTTATATATGGTACCTTGCCCATCTTTTAAGTTATCATTCTCACAACATTCATGGATGGACAGATGAACCAAAGGATTGTGTGTATTTCCACTTCACCGTTTTCCCTCTGTAATGGGTGTCAAAAAGTTTGCAGGCATGTGGCTTCTTTTAGACTAATTATGTCTGAAAATGCTGAGCAGGATGACATGTTGGAACTGAAACCATGTTTGCCTAAAGAAAGAGACATCATTGACAGCACAGTACTTGCCTTCCCTTGTTTGCACATATAATTAGGTTTGCCAACTTTTTGGTCTTTTTCAAATCCTCAGATTTTCATACATAAATTGTTATTGCATGAGGAAATCTCTAGCTTCTGCTAGTAGTAAGTTCAAAGGCCTGCTTATAAAAACATTGGTCTTTACTGTATTATCTGGACCACACATAACATTCCTTTTTGCTTATGGCAATAGATGTACAGCCCATGAAAAAGAGACTGAAGTCCGAGCATCGCATGAGCAAGAATGAAATCCTAACGTGTGTCAGAGCTGTGTGATTCGAAGGTTTCATTGTACGGTGACAGCAAAAGTCAAACTTACCATAGCTGCATTTGCAACTTTTTCCAGATCCTCATTGACGCACGCAGTGGAAACCTCTCCCCATTCCTTGGTTTTGCCACAGTAGCGGGACTTTTGCCCCGTTCGGCCCACTTGACATGTCTTATTAATTATAGTGAAATCTATTGGAGCTTTTGGCCATTTGTCTCCATTAAGAATTTCTTCCTTGCAAAATGGATCACCAACTTAAAAAGGGTGGTTGAAGGCATCACATTTAGCAGACATCAGTTCAAAAAGGCATAGTTAAGAAATTAAGAGAAAAAAAATCAAAGTGAGATCATTTAGATGAGTATAAATTGAAATAATTTGTACGCTAAAACCACTGAACTACAGAAACAGTGAATGGCCAGCCACAGCCTAATCTACGCTAATTTATGCTAACAGGATGAAAATCAGTGCCACCATTTTGTGAAGTGCTAAATGGCAATGTGTCATGCTTACATACTGCCAGAATTGCAGCAGACCATCAATATCAGAATAAAAATTTAAACTAAGCAGAGGTCAGTCAGATTTAGTCAGTTTTTACATTTTCCAAACTAAGACAATGAATCTGACTTATATCGGCAACGAGAAATGGCAGCAACATGGATTCTGGACCAACTCACTTAGCACCATCAGTGTTCATTCCAATGTTTCTCTAGTTCAGCGGTTAAAACTAATTTATAAAACCTTTACCAGCTAACACAGGGATAGCCACTGCTTCACTTTTCGTTTGTCCCATTCGGTTCACGAATGTAATTTTTACGTTGCGTGTACCTTTGTCAGTTTTACAAATGATATTTGTTGCGTAGCTGTAAGTAAAGCTGTCGTTTCCTGCAACATAAAGATGTTTATGTTAGTGAATTTGCTCTTTAAGTTTGGGAAGGGGGAATGTGAGAAAAATTAATTACGTCGCACTTGTTTTCTGTTGGAGTTTGTCTATGTTGTTTTCAGACCATGTGATGTTGTAGATCTCCGTAGTTTTAGGAATGCTGGCAGACACGCTGACTGTGAAGGATGTGGTGGTCGCATCTGAACAGTCCGCGATGAGAGGATCAAATTTCATGTTGATCACATCCGGCAGGAGAGCAACATCCAAATAAGATCTGGCTGTGTGCCTAACTGACCCAACAGTAAACCCACACTCGTATGTACCTGTCAGGAACACGTAAATCATTCAGTTTGAAGTTTTTACCTTTGTGCTCACAAATAATGGCAAACATTTAAAGGGCGTCATGCCAGGACAAATGATAAGAAACAACTATAAGGAGGCATACTTCACAAATAAGATCCAAAAATCATCGGATTGCCTATGATTTGGGCTCTGTTGAACGAATCACACAAACCTTATAAAACGGTCATTATAGCACAACAACACCAATTAACCCAGATGCTGGATGATTTCAGCATCTGTCAGTAATGTGACTCTATCTTCTTCGTCACTTTTTTCGGTTTACTGATTGCACATGACTGTAAGCAACAGTTAATGACATCAAATCTATGAAAAATAAAATAATTTAGTAATCTGTTGTCGGGTTTGTCATATGGTCAGAGCAACAATTTGAGCTAAAGAACCGACTTGTGGAAAAGGCAAAGGAGCGCCGGGTCTATAGAGAGAACAAAACTTCAGCTTTGAATAAACATAGATATAAATCAAGTTACAATATATCAGAACAAACACTTGGCATTCCTGTTAAAACGGACTGTGTCTGTAGGTAAGGAAAAAACTTCTTCGTATTGTTTAGTTTCTTCTTTCTGTTTGTTTGCCAATCAGTACTGACCCAGCCTGTTTCACTGGGATCAGGTTATGTATTCATTACTGATTTATAGACACAAGACCATAAAAAGATGAACGACCCCTAGTGGCTTACTGCAGTACAGTTTTAAACCTTGTCCCGTTCTGTAAGTAAATATCAAATGTAACATTTCTCTGACTTAATAAACACGCACTTCAAATTATCTTTTCTGTTCTTGATTCTTGTTGGTTCACACAGTCCTTATCTTGCTTCTGTTTAATCTGTTTTCATGTTTGGAAGACATAAAAGCCTGGATGGCTGTGAACTTCTTAAAATTCAATGAGGGAAAGACTGTGATGATCTTTGGAAGCTCCCGTGTGACCACTCAGCTGGACTACTGTAATGCACTCTATACAGGAATCAGAGATTCCTGTATCTCTCAGCTTCAGAGGGTACAAAATGCTGCTGCACAGCTTTTAAATGTCACATGAAAGTTTGACCACATTTCACCTGTTTTAGCCTCCCTGCACTGGCTCCCGTACATTCCAGGATTCATTGTAAAATTCTTTCATTTGCTTTTAAAGCTCTTAATGGACTTGCTGTCTGAGTTGTTGCATCCATACACACCAGGTTGATGGTTGTTTTACTATGTGTACTGCACTTTGGTCCTGTGGGTGTTTAACGTGCTCTATAAATAAAGCTGATATGGTATGGTGATAAATTATTAATTGTTTAAATATTCTAAGTTTTTATTAGTGATTTGAAAAATAAAGTGTTGTGTTACGAAGTGCAACAAAGCAAAGATTCAACTTGTCTGCTAGATTCCTTAGATAGAGAACTTTACTAATTGGCTTTTATGTATGTGAATGTTCCTGTAAAGTGCCCTGAGACAACTTTGTTGTGATTTGGCACTATATAAATAAACTGAATTGAAATTGTTAGGCTGTAACTGACACTTTGTCAGCAGGTTGGGTTGGTGTGTAGATGGGACTTTTTGTTCCCACGTCTATGATGCACATACTCTGCCTCCAAAAATACAACATGGCAGCTCCTAAAACAACATTTAGTCTTTATATTTGTACAATGGAAGTTAACCGTCACTTTCATCCATCTCATTCATGATGATGGTTCACACACGTGGAGTGCAATATACATGAAATACATTGGCTAAGAGTCTCGCAATTATTATTATTTTAGTCAGACAAAAGAGCACAATGTTGGCAATTTCCAAGGTAAAAATGGTTTACTTGCCTATCCATGCACCTGTCAGATTTGTGAGACTAGCTGATACGATGTTTTTGTAACCAGTTGGGCTACTGGTGTGTATGATTTGAGCAGAAAGGCCGTTGTTGATCTCAAATCGCTCAAATTGTCTGCTCAGGTTCCAGCCAGAACTCCCCGGAATGACCCCTTCCTCATCAAATGTGCAGTTCAGAATCTGCTGTGACGTGTACAGCACCGGCTTGGTTGGGGCCTCCATGCTGACCATTCCTGTGTAAAATAAATAAACAAACAAATAAAGTAGTAAATATATAAATTAATTAATTAATTAATTAATTAAACTATATACAATAAATAAATTAATTAAATACATTAAATAAACTAACTAAATAAATAAATTATTAAATAAATAAATATGTATAAAAATATGGTTGTGGAATGAAAACGTACAATTAAACTAAAAAAAAATAATAATATATATATATATATAT